TTTTTTTTTGCTCATCAGTTTTCATTAGCGTTTGTGTATTTAATGTGTGGCCCAAGACAAGTCTTCTTGCAGGGTGGCCCAGAGACGCCAAAAGGTTGGATACCCCTGCCAGATCTTTCCCGAGAAGGCTGTCCCCCACGGACTGCATCAGCAGGGCTCCCTGGCACCCTGACTTCAGATGGGAGAGCAGAGCTCAGGCAGAGAGTTTGTTCTCTGGCTTCTTCCCTGCTGGACCCGGTGTGGAAGTTCCTGACCTCTTCTACCTGAGGCCATGGCTTCTGCTCAGTTCCTCCCCCACAGTTGTGCTTTTGGCCTGGTTCTGTAATTGTCCCCTTTCTGGACTGGGGGTGGCAAGCGCTTCCATTTGTCAGCCACGGGGAGCTTTACTACTTATTGCTGTTAGTCTTGAACTCTTCCCTCACGCTTGTTTGTTGACATTCCCTTCTTTAATAGTCTCTTGGTTAAGTTTCTTGGTTAGCAGTCTCTTCAGTTACCCCTTTGATCCTGCCACTCATCCATTTTCTCCCAACACCCTGACAGAGTTATTTTCTGGCTATGACTTTAGTGTGTACGTATATTAGTTTATACTTGCTATGCATGTAAATTCTGAGAATATTTTTGCATAGCTTTTATGCCTGCAGGCTAAGGACTAAGATTTGTAAGTGTCCTCAGGCAAGAAGAACAATTAGTACACCCACTAATAGTCCTTATTTATACTTCTAATCTCAAAGCTAATCGTTAATAATTAATTAAGGCCTTTGGCATCACTGGAAGCTTTAAAATAATAAAATACTGGCTAACTTCAGCTTCCTAATACTAAATGCAAGACAATATTCAAACATTTGTAAAATATAATTATATTTTCACTATTTATTTCCCCTTATTAGCTATGGGGAAAATATTAAATAAAAAGGGGAAGGATTTACAGGAACTAGTATAAAGGACACATGGACAACAACTAAGGGGGGTGGAAATGGGAGGGAGGTGGGGAGTATGGGAGGGTGGACTGGGATGGGAGTAAAAGACAGAATACTGTAGTTGAAAAATAATTAAATAAAAAATAAAGATCAGGAAGAAGACAGGAAAAAAAGAGAAAAATAAATAAATACATAAATATATAAATAAATAAATAATACAATATAAATTTGGTGGCTAATCTTTGCTAGTACAAGTGTTTTCCAGTATTGGTCTTTGTCTGTGATGTTCATATATATAATTATATGTCATGAGAAGGGAAAACATAAATAACCAAGTAAATACTTTAATACATTGAAATATTATTTTGTTTTAACTCCATGTTGGCTTAACCTCCCAAAACTAGTTCATTGCTAGAACAGACACTTACTGACCACTTGTTTTGTATGAGCACTGGGTTTAGTGATGTGGGGCATTCAGAAAATTCATGGGGAATCATATTCTGGATTCTAGAATGTTCCTTGATGATGTCACATGCCCATTAAGTATTGGTTGTAAAGAATCAAACTGAAAACCCATGTCTCATGGTTCAGGTTTAATCTTCCTTTTCATAAAACTGTACTATAGTCAGCAGGTGCCTGGCCAACAAGATATTGAAAGGCACAATACAGGCAGTCTTCAGGTATCCTAACGAATTGTTTATTTTTATTATGGGTGAGTGGTGAAGTTATAGGCTTTAGAGTTCTTTAAAATAAGCTAAGGGTAATAAGTAAATAAAAGTTCATATAATATTTTATATCTGTATTTGCTATCTATTAAGTTCTCAAAGTATGGGGTAAGAAAACCCTAAAGACACATGCGTGGCCCTCCATATTTAATTACTTTCTGAAAATATTTAATAAATGTGTTAATGAATTACAAGGCTGTTTGAACACTGTTTGTATCATAGACCCTCATCTCACAAATTCTTTCCAAAAACAAAAGCTAGTTTTGACATTTTCATAGATTTCTAGGCTCTTTGTGTGTGTCCAAGAGAGAAAGGGAATGGAAATTAAGACAAGTGGGTTGGACTGGTCCATCGAGAGCCCTTGCTAGAAATGCCAAAGGAGAGATGTAAGGAGTGGGGGCCGCTGACACACCTTTGACTCAGTCAAATAAAAACGTTTGGCACTTAAAGTTTCTATAACTATGAAAGTGCTATAAAATGTACTTGCAGCTTTTTAAATGTATCAGCAGAACTTATTTTTAATTTTTGGCTGTAATCAAGTGGAAGTGACTTTAGATGTCAGGGGACCTGTAATTATAGGATTTTGTTTATTCATTTAGTTAAAATCATAAATGTAACCTCCAAACCTGGAATAATATAATTGAAAGTGTAATATATATGTGTGCATGTATACACATACACAACACACTCACAAATGGTAAAAATTACTTTACTTAATATTCATTTCCATTGTTTGACCACAGTTTTAGAGGCCAATGTGGAAATCTGACATATTCTTTGCAATTCCTAGATTGGATTCCTTCAAGTACATGGCATGGGCTCCCCCACTTGAACTAAACCAAAAGAGTGACATTAAATTTGTTTACTCTTTTGACATATTTCTTGAGTACTCCCTCAAAATTATTGAGCTACTACCTGGGTGAAACACTTAATATGTCTAGTTTCTTCAAGGTCACTTCTGTCTGGGCTTCAAATTGGTGCTTTGCTTCTGGGCAGTCAAGGTAAAGGGAATTCGGAGTAAGTTACACTGTTCTCTTATACAAAAAAAAAAGGCTACAAACTAGTGCTTCAGAGGAGACAAAATTTTTCCTAGTGTTAAATTCTAAAAATGTCTATTTAGTGAAAAAAAAACAGGTATTGTCTTTCTACAAATTTAATATACAAAATTGTCTAGTGAAAAAAAATCCCCTTATTACTGAAAATCTAAAGAATTACACAAACACTTCAACTGATTCTTTAAAAAAAGCAATGACCTTAAGGACTCTTCATTTGCCACCTCCAGAAACAAGCAGTTTGAATATTCCTTTTATTAAGATGTGTTAGAATGTCATTAACAGGGAAGCTTCATAAATAGGCTATCACTTTTTGAGAGAGATCAGACCATGCTAAATAATGAGATATGGGAATACATTGAACAGCTTGACTTCTGCTGACTTTTACTTAAGAGTGTGAAGTGTTTTAAATTAGACTATGTTAGTATTGATGAAATGTGCACTGGGGAAAAATAATTTAAAGGCTTTGTTCCATTTTGAGAGCTAGATATATTGTATAATTTTAAAATAAAGCACTGTGACCGGGCAGTAAGGAAGCAATAACTCTCACATGCTGTTGAAGACAGTGGGAATCAGGGCAACCTTTTTGAAGCCGATTTAGTGATAATATCTGTCAAATTTGCAATGCATCTACTCACTGACCTGGCAATTATACATGCAGATTAAAATTGACCCTGGATAGATTTGTAAAAGTACACCAAAATAGATGTACAAAAGCATTCACTACAGTACCTTTGAAATAGTAAAAGGAAAACATTAGAAAAATAATCTAAATATACAACAAAAAATGAATGGTTAAATTAAATGTATATTCATTTAACCACACTCTATAAGCCAATAAGAAGTATAGGGTAATTCTGTATATGCTACTATGGAAGGGACGCCAGGGTGGGTTAGTTGGTGGACAAGCCAGACGCAGACGACAATAGTGGCTCTTGGATCACTTAAAAAGCAGAAATACAAATGCTCCTTGGCTTAGGATGGGACTACTTCCTGATAAACGCATCATAGGTTGAAAATACATTTAATATATGGAACCTGCTGAACATCACAGCTTAGCCTATTCTGCATTAAATGTGTTCAGAACACTTACAGTAACGTACAGTTGGGCAGAATCACCTAATGCAGTGAATACACTGTAGAGTATCCATTGTTTACAGCAGTGATTTTCAACTGCTGTGCCACAAGAACTTTTAAAACATGCAGCACCTGACTATTTAGTCAGATGCACTGACCTCTTTTTCTTAGTTTGTCAACTAAAGAAAAATAAGACCAACACAACAATAGTCATTCTATGTGAATGAATCAAAATTATACCTATTTTTTCAGATTGACAAAAAATGTATATATTTTTGGTATGCCACAGAATTTTAGTAAATAGTTTATATATGCCATGAGATGAAAGAGGTTGAAAGTCGCTGGTTTAAAGTGTCATATGGCAGGGCTGACTTGGAGCTGCAGGTCACTGCTACTGCCCAGCATCACAAGGAAGTATGGTACCACACATCTCCAGCCTGGGAAAAGACCAAAATCCAAAACTTGAAGTATGGTTTCTGTTGAATGTGTATTGCATCATACGGTCAAAAAATCGTGAGTCAGGGACTGTCCTTACCTACATGTACAGGTTTAGGTAGATATATTGATATTGATATATCTTGATATTCAAGTTATATATTGAAGATAATATGCATCTTATCAATTTTCTACTTAGCTGGATGGTAAAGTGAATATGTAAACTTTGGCTTTGACTTGAAAGGGAGGGATCCTACATGGGGGTGGGTTGCTGGATGCTTTTCTTTTCAATAGTTTTCTCTACAATTTAATTTTTAAAATTATGTACATCTATTTTTTAAAAAATATCAACATGAGTGTTTTAAAGTCACTATTGTTGGTCTGTTATATAATGCAAAAACCCAATAAATAATACTTACAAAATAATAAATCACTGTTGTTAGGTCATGGAGCATGACACAGTCTACACACAAAAGACTATGTTGTTAGGAAATAAACTCAAGTTGTCTATGGAATATGCTCCTTGCAAACCAAGTCAGCTCCCCATATGGAGAGCGCATCTCCGACCTGTGTGGCAGATCAGTCTGCTTGGTATAGGGCAGTTGGAGACGTCATGTCTACCCCCTCTTCTGAGCGAGAAAAGTTCAAATCAGATATTACACTTGTTTTCCTAGTCTGTAGTAGGAAAAATACTACAAAACAAAGGTGGTTTTAACACAGCAGGCTCTATTTGGGAAGCAATTTCAAAAGGAAGCAATAGAATGACTGGTTATTGCTCCCCGGAATCTTTTCAGAACTGCGACTTCTGGTGAGCCCCTCTGTGTGTTTGGACCAGAGCACACAATTCAAGCCGAATACTTGGAGTCACCTCTCAAAAACAGTGAAGCCACAGATGTGGAAATCATGGGCCTGGAGACATGAACAACTGTAAGTTAATCATTTGAATTGTTATGTCCAGCATGTATGTTAGGAGACAGCTTACAAGAGAAAAATGCTGAACAGATCTTGGGGTTTTTGTAGGTTTGAATTATTAGGTCTCTTTCATAAATTTTTGGCTATCTCTTTTTAATAAAGAATGCATCATTGATTTTCTTCCAGACTAATTTGAACCTCTCCTGCCATAGAATAAACATTTGGGTAAAAAGGACTCTTATCTAGGAAGTTAAATGAATGTAAATTGAATTTAAAACCTCGAAAAGGTGAAACTATAGAACTTTAACTTTCATTTTATACTCAAATGACATTGCCTTAGTCTATGAATATGGCTGAAGGAATTTTTTTCCTAATTACTTTTTTTTATGGTTCCCAGGATCTGAGAAAGCAACTTGGGGTACCATATTATTCAAATTATCTCTAGGGAAATAATTTTGTAAAGTAGATAAATTAAGGGATTTTAATTATCTTATCCAAGGCACCAAATGCTTTTCCTCATCTAATTTTATAATCAATAGGTAGTATTGCCACAGTTAATAGTAGTTATTGAAGAATCATGTGTATCTTTTATTTACCTATCCTTCTGAAGTCGAAATAGCACAATCTTCTCATTGATCAAAGTTAGATACTTTGAATATAGAAATGTGGTGCAAAAAAGCAAATAGTTATACATTTTGGTACCATTTATGATGAAAGTACACTTGCTTCATTATAAAACATTAAACTAGCATTAGTTTCCTTTATAGACTAAAGTGTTTGCCTCATATTTTATTTCTTAAATTAACTCCTAATAATTTGTGATGAGAGTTATTAAGTAGAAACAAACTAGTGGGGAAAATATTTTGGCATATTTTTGGCAACCTGTCCACTATTGAGAAACATAACATCTTTTCTTATCAAGGAAAAGGTAAAGTAAAGGCAGGCAAGGGCAGAGCCAGAAAAATTCAGGTATTTCACTGTTCCCTAAGCTTTCATTTGTATAATTTTTGTTATAATGGTACCATACATGACTAATTAAAAAATTTTAAACCTTCAAACCTTAATTTATGTGCAATTTTTGTACCTTTCTTAAAAAATATTTTGATTAAATCTGCCTGTGTGAGAAACTCATTAATTTGATCCTTTTCTCTGTATCTGTACTCACCCTGGTAGTGATGCTAATAAACAGTGAACTTGTTTAAGGAAATGTGGACACTGAAGGCTGGGGTCCGACGAAAGATAGACAAGTGTACAAAGCTTTGTGGTGATTTACAAATTACATACTCACCCTACAATGTGGGCCACGAACTGTGCTGTTTTATTTTTTAGGGATCGAACCACAGTCCTTGCTCCACATGAAGCAGTTTTCAGAGCTGAAGATCTATCTGTGATTCTTAAAGCATATGTGCTGGTGACGTCCTTGACCCCTTTGCGTGCATTCATTCACTCAACTGGCACAGTTTGGGATCCACCAAAGAAGAAACGCTTCACTGTTAAGGTAAAATTTCCATCAAGCTGATATTTCTCAAAAAGTGTACTGAGGAGAAGTAAAGTGAGTTGGGCTGCCTTTCTCTAATCTTTAGGATGATCAAATCCCATTAAACAAAAATTGCACCATTTTATTGCTGGAAGCAGAGATTTTCATTGGACAGTTGGTCCAAAAATGAACTTGAAGCAGCTTAATTCACTAGAGATCATAAAGTCTACATCTTTTTTTTTTTTTTTTGCTGAATTCATCATTTTAGTTTAGTTCTTTGACCTGTTACAAAGCTGGTTCTCAACTGTATTCTATTTTTCTTGACTTTTCACTATTCAAGAAAAATATCATCAATGCAACACATAAAAACATACAAATTTTGCCCTTATGGTTTTGCTTCATTCTTTGGAAACAAAATGCCTATTTCACTACAACAGTATGTACAGAATATTTGCCAAGTGAAAAACAAAGCCCTCAGGTGGTGCCAATACAGTAGCAAGCATTAATATAAAGGAGGATGAGAAAGTTTTCAGTAAAGGAAATCATAACAACACAAAAAGTTTAGTTATAAAAGGTTACTCAGGTTAACTCAGTTAAAAAATTTCTACTGACAATGTGTTTGATAAATGTTAAGGTAGTTCCAATTCTATAGAAATAATTGTTTAGAGGACACATGCAAGGTGATTTGCCTGGTCAGAATTTCATCCCCTAAACGCTTAGGAAGAAAAGCCCTAAGAGGAGGAACTTCCCTCCATTATAACCCATCACATTCAAGGTTTGAGAGAAAAAAGGATGGGGGAGTGAACATAATCTCACACATTTCCTCATCGAGCCCTCACCTGAGCAGGTGGACTTCACGTCCTTACCAGGAAAGGAGGAGGCAGAGCCATCGCAAGGGAGAGGAGGAGGGAAAGCCTCAGTGGCCACCCTCCCCACACTCCAGGTCTCTGTGCACCACCACCACTGGCCAGAGCCTCTCAAAACAGTGTTCAGAATCTTTTTCACACAGGTTTTTATTATGTGTCTCTGTTAAGTTCATGCTTCAATCTCACTTCAGCTAGGCTGGTTCACCATCTTGATAAAAAACAAAAACAAACAAACAAAAAAAAAACTGGAGGCTTCTAGGTACTCCAAATAGTTTGTTAAAGTTTTACTTCTTTTGCATTTTAACATTACTTCCCCAACCACAGTAGCAATGACTGGTAGAAATGATAGGCACTTTTGTGATAGTTTTTATGGACCTCCTAATGTTATATCATGAGAAAAGAAAATTCTCTGTGATTTGATTTCTTTATATTTTCACACTATTTTACTATTTTGTTTTTCATTTGCATCTTTGTTGCATCTGTGGGACAGATACAAGCTGCAGTTGTAGCTGAGGAAAGCACATAGTTCTTGTCATTTTCCTCCCCTCTGTGGGATTTGTCTTTTCAAGATCTTGCCTTATTATTCTGGATAACACTGTTACCTGCTCCCAAAGGGAAGAGGTAGTGCAGCTTCCTGGGCGAATGCATTAGCAAATGATTACTCCTCATGAGATTCAAGTTATACTTAATGCTACAGGTAGAGTTCAGAAAACAAAGGAATAATTATTTACCTGTCATCTGAAGTACTTATTGCTTCCGCCAAAACAAATAGATTATACTTATCTGTTAAATCAGTATTGCCCTCCAAACACTGCTTTCTCTTGGTATTTTTAGATATGAAAAAATACGCAGAAGCAGTTCTCAGTGCTAATGTGGAAGATAGCACCAAAAACCACTTTAAAGACTCATCACATGACATCACAGTTTTATTAAACCCTGTTCTTAAATTTCACAAAACATAATGTGTGTGCGTGCACTGAGCCCTGAATTCAAAGGCTAAATTACTTAGTTAAATCAGTAGTGATTTATGCACTCTGCAGTGAGGCAAGCCCTCTAAACTGGTTATCTGTGGCCATTTATAGAATATTCTGGCAGCTAAAGAAGGTCTGAAAGTAATAACAGATATAACTATGAGCTCATTTATTTCCAGTTAGGTCTGCTGCTAGATACTTTATCTGCTAAAGCTTTGGAGAGAGCTGAAAAATATCAAGGAAAGGAAATTTGAGTAATAGTGGGCAGTATAAATTTGTAAACTATATTTATAGTTTCCCTAAAATTCTCTTCTATAAAATAAAAATAATTTAAAATTTAAGTGTTAGTATTTCCAATGGATTTCAAATTTAAAAGGGGGAGGAAGATGGAAAAAAGGAAAAAAACTAATAGCAAATGAAACATTTGCTTACTATATTATTTGATCCAATTTTCTAGGTAGATATCCTTCCCTCCTCATTTTTGTTCTTTACTCAAATGGGAGTAAATTAGATACACTGACTTATGTCTTGCTTTTATCAAGTAAGTATATCTTAAAGATTTTTTCATATTATTTTATTTTTTTTATCTGATTTATTTAAAAAAGGAAAGAAAAAAAAACATTTTACCCATTTTTTCCTCCCAACCCCCACTGTTCACCCTTGGAAGCCACCAGTGTGTTCTCTGTATCTATGAGCTTTTTTTATGTATATTTTATTTTTATTTTTTACGTGAATTTTCTTTTATTTTTTTCTTTTATTTATTTTTAAATTTTATTGTTATTTTTCAAGTAGAGTTTTTTTTGTCTATTTCTCCCATCCCAGCATCCCCCACCCCTTGCTCCCCACCTCCCTCCCATTTCCACCCCCTTAGTTCTCATCCCTGTGTCCTTCCTATTTGTTCCTCCAAATCCCTCCCCCTTTTTCCCCTTAACTTCCCTTCCCTCTCCCCTCTGGTCACTGCCCACTTGTTCTCTATTTCAGTGTCTTTGTTTTTTTTTTTCTGCTTGCTTGTTTGTTTTGTTGTTTAGCTTCCTGTTAAAGGTGAGATCATATGGTATTTGTCCTTCAATGCTTGGCCTATTTCACTCAACATAATGCTTTCCAGTTCCATCCATGTTGTTGCAAAGGGTAGTAGCTCCCTCTTTATCTCTGCTGCATAGAATTCCATTGTGTATATGTACCACAATTCTTTGATCCATTCATTTACTGATGGGCACCTAGGTTGCTTCCAACTCTTGGCTATTGTAAATTGTGCTGCTATGAACATTGTGGTGCATAGGTTCTTTGATATTGATGTTTTAGGATTCTTAGGATATAATCCCAGCAGTGGAATTGCTGGGTCAAAAGGCAGGTCAATTTTTATTTTTCTGAGAAAATTCCATACTGCTTTCCATAATGGTTGTACCAGTCTGCAATCCCACCAACTGTGGACTAAGGACCCCTTTTCCCCACAACCTCTCCAACATTTGTTGTTTGTTGCTTTGTTTATGATAGCTATCCTGACCAGTGTAAAGTCGTATCTCATTGTGGTTTTAATTTGCATCTCTCTGATAGCTAACGATATTGAGCATCTCTTCATGTGTCTCTGGATGTTCTGTATGTCCTCCTTGGTGAAGTGTCTGTTCAAGTCCTTTTCCCATTTTTTAATTGGGTTGGGTGTCTTCTTAGAGTGGAATTGTGTAAGTTCTTTGTATATTTTGGAGATTAAACCTTTGTCTGAGGTATCATTGGCAAATATGTTTTCCCATACAGTTGGTTGTCTTGCTAATTTAATACTGTTTTCTTTAGCCAAACAGAAGCTTTTTATTTTGATGAGATCCCATTTGTTTATTCTTTCCTTTATATTCCTTGCTCTAGGGGACATATCAGTAAAAAAGCTGCTATGTGAAATATCTGAGATTTTCTTGCCAATGTTCTCCTTTAGGACTTTAATGGTGTCACGGCTTATATTTAAGTCTTTTATCCATCTTGAATTTATTTTGGTATATGGTGTAAGTCTGTGCTCAAGTTTCATTTTTTTTGCACGTATCTGTCCAGTTCTCCCAACACCATTTGTTGAAGAGGCGATTTTTACACCATTTTATGTTACTGCCCCCTTTGTCAAATATTAATTGACTGTAGAGAGTTGGGTTGATTTCTGGGCTCTCTGTTCTGTTCCATTGGTCTATGTGCCTGTTTTTATGCCAGTACCAGGCTGTTTTGATTACAGTGGCCTTGTAATACAGTTTGATATCAGATATTGTGATCCCTCCTACTTTGTTCTTCTTTCTCAAAAAGTGCAGCTGCTATTCGGGGTTGTTTATGGTTCCATATAAATTTTTGAAGTGTTTGTTCTATGTCTGTGAAATATGCCATTGGTACTTTAATAGGTATTGCAATGAATGTGTATATTGCTTTGGGTAGTATGGACATTTTGATGATGTTAATTCTTCCAATCCATGAACAAGGTATGTTTCCATTTGTTTGTGTCTTCCTTGATTTCTTTCTTCAGGGCTGTGTAGTTTTCTGCATACAGGTTTTTTACCTCCTTAGTTAGGTTTATTCCCAGATATTTTATTTTTCTTTTTGCTATATCAAATGGGATTTTTTCCTTGATTTCTGCTTCTGCTGATTCATTGTTCGTATACAAAAATGCCTTGGATTTCTGGATATTGACTTTGTAACCAGCTGTTTTGCCAAATTCATTAATTAATTCGAGCAGTTTTGGGGTAAAGTCTATAGGATTTTCCATATACACTATCATGTCATCTGCAAACAGTGACAGTTTTGCTTCCTCCTTTCCTATTTGGGTGCCTTTTATTTCCTTTTCTTGCCTGATTGCTGTGGCTAAAACTTCCAATACTATATTGAATAGAAGTGGTGAGATTGGACATTCTTATCTTGTTCCTGATCTTAGTGGAAAAGATTTTAGTTTTTGCCCATTGAGTATGATGTTGGCTGTAGGTCTCTCATATATGGCCTTTATTATATTGAGAAACGCTCCCTGTATTTCCACTTTGCTGAGTGTTTTTATCATAAATGGGTATTGTACCGTATCAAAAGCCTTTTCCGCATCCATTGATATGATCATATGGTTTTGTCTTTGCTTTTGTTTATGTGATGAATTACATTTACTGATTTACGAATATTGAACCATCCTTGCATCCCTGGGATGAATCCCACTTGGTCATGGTGTATGATCTTT